ACAAAGCTGCTCGCTACACTCGCGTTTCCGCGATACGAAAATGGAAAATAGTACATTAAAAATAACGTGATGCAACGAAACCGATAATAAATCATTGTTCATATTATCGTATTGTGTTCATACTCGGAAATTATATAGAATCCCATAGGCAACAATATTTCTAATTATATCTATATTCGATCTTTTCTATTTTGTTCGTAAATAAAATGTTCTATTTTTGAAGTATTCTGAGTGTATTCCTGAGTATTTCATGTATGTTTAAATTATTTTGTTATAAATAAAAATGGTAATTGTAAGCTATGTTACAGTTTGTACTAATTTTTTTTTTTTTTGTGGTAAAATTTAAAAAAAATTAACTATAATTTTTCTGGGCCTCGGTATACAATTTACAAAGGGGCCCCATCGGCATTCGTCGACCAAACGACCGTTAAATCCGTCTCTGCAGCTTATGTTTTTGAAACAAATTTATAATACTTCAAGTAGTTGACTTGCGAGTTACCAAGATTTTTCGTTTAATTATCTATTCTTTCAAAAATATTAGAAATGTTTTCAATCATTTAAAATTCTTCATTTATTAACAGTACGTTTTCTAACTTTTTATAAATAGTTTTTCATTTTTATACTCGTGGACTTGGTAATTTTTTTTCTTACAACGAAAATAGACTCAAATAACTTCACATTTTTCGTAACACAAATTATTGGGAAAACACATTGTAGATAGATTATCTAATAATTTATATTTAATCATTTTAATCTATTTTTTTTTTCCAATTTTTAGAAAATGTATATTAAATATTGTACAGTACGAGTATCATTGATTATAAATTGTATTTATAACTAATGGAAGTATGTAAGTATGTTTAAGTATTGTTCTGGGTTATGGTACTTCAAATGTGCCTTTATAAAAAACCTGGTGTTCTTTTGCTTTATTGGTATTTTTCACCCATCTTTCAGTTTTAATCAGCCAGAATTGATGATTTGGTGAATTTGATTATCAAATATACATACTTTTTTAACTGCGCAAAATTAATTCTGAACAACGCAAATACCGATCAACAAAGCCTTGGTTCGTGACCCTAAATTTCATTTTTCCATCTAACCACTCCCAAACAAATTAAAATTAAACCAATAAGTTTTAATCAAAAAAAAATATTATTTCCTTTTTAATAAATAGTATATTTTATACGACTTTTATTAGAAAAAATATTCATTTTTAATATTAAAAGTAATTATATTGAAAATTACTCAATTTAAATATACGATTGAGTACATAGACAAATATTTAATAATTAATATTTTTAATACTAATGTCTGATACTTGACTATTCGTTATCTTAGGCAATTTAATAAACACTTTAATGAACCTAATCGACTATTTTTAATAATATTTAATAAAATAATAAAATATTAGCTTAGTCATATTAGTTATTATTTTTACCACAAATTACAAGAAAACATATAATCTGTATTATTTGTTAACACTAATATATTATAATATCATATAATTTTGATAATACTTGTAACTGTCTTAAATCTAAGAAGTTCATAGTTAGTTTATTTTCAGTTAAGCGACAACACTTGGGTCAACAAGAACAGCAACCAAACTTGTTCGTACCTGTCCCAGCGACGTTAATAAAAAAATCTAAACACAACGTGTAACGTTTGTTCGAGTTATTCGGTTTTTTTGTTGTTTTGTTTTCTTTCACTTTTGAACCGATAGCTGAGCTGAGGGACTATGTTGTATATCAATCGCTTGAGAGTTATTCGGCCTACTCGCACCGAAAACTACGAATGGGCAAGGCCGGATTAAACACCTATTGGGCCCCGGGGCTAAAATTTTATATGGGCCCTTTTGACAAAACATGCTTTAGAAAGCTGCTCGCTACGCTCGCAGAACAATACATTTTTTAAACTATTTCACAAATTGTCAATTACATTGACAAAAATGTTTATCGGTTTAAAATTGTTGGGCCCTCTTTAATCCGACCTTGCGAATGGGTTATGAGCACACTGGTAAACACGAAAACGGTCGTAACCGTTTGCGCCGTCTCGTAATATCGAATGAATTATTTTTACGCATTTTGCAGTATTATATTTCTATATCATTCACGTATAATTGACCGATTGAGAACGTGAAAAAATCGATTGACTTTTATCTAGAATCACGGTAGAGATTTTTCCGCCTCCTTAAATAAATAGATACATGCCCGAAGTGCCCCACTCAACATGATGCCCAGCAGAACGATACAATCCATATCTATCCGTGAACCTGTGACAGCAGCAATAGAAATCGATTGATTTTGCAATAGTTGATAAGATTCTGCTTTGTAATGGCATTTTACATTGCTTTTATTCATGTGTTCAAATAACAATAGCAGCGGAATGGTGATAGTGACGTTGTACAATAGTAATCGGTCGAGAAAGTGAACTCGGCCGAGCACTGTCTTGTGCGAACCCAAGGAACCAGCATACGTTCTAGTAATCGGAAGAGTAAAAAGGGCGACCGAATGAATAGAAACCCTTTACATTCGTTGGGCCAAGTGACAACCAAGATGTACTGTACTGGGCGTGTCCTTTTAAGGGCCCCATATATGGAACGCTATAACGACAGACTTATCGTCAAATCAATCAGTCGATTCACTATCAAACATCGCCTACTAAACACACGAATCGATTTTTTGATAAACTATTCACCATCACGGACATTAATTCAGTATACATATTACATATTATAAAGTTATGATTTTATAGCTTGTAAATTTGATATTTTTCAACATTTCCTACGATTTTACACAATATCCAACTTATTGAAGAGGAAAATTAAAGCATTAGTTATAGCAGCTGCTCTTGTTTTGGCAGTGGACAATGAAGACAAACAAATTATTAAAAAGAAATGATAAAAAAAAAAGTAACAAGTAGGTAATGAACCGAATTCAAACCAGAATCACTCAATTACTACTACAATATAATCATGGCTGTAGTAAAAAAGGGCGAATTGTGCTTACGCCTCGGGCGAGATTTCTGAGAAGGCGCGATAATAAAATATTTGCATTTTATATTAAAAATTACAATGGTCAATGTTATGAATTTTTTTTTTTTGAAAAACTTCATCGTTCTTTATACAAATCGAAGCAATTGCTGAAAATAATATCTAATAATTATAATATTTTTAAATTCAACATTTAAGATTAACAACATACAAGGACACATTTTAAAGTTCGTCCCGGACGCAATAATTGGTTGCTACGGCACTGAGCGTGGTGCATGCACCAACTTGTTAACTGACCGCTACACGAGCGTCACACAGCACAGACACGATGACCAACAGTTCCAGTCAACGTTTGACGGTATACCGTTTCGCGCACGGGACCCTTAAGCCGAGTGTCGTGTAACGATGAGTAGTTTTGAACTCGATGACATCTTAACCTATAGTCACACTCCAGCGCATTTTTAAGGAATTTTCAATGGACGAAGGAAGTCGATTTTTTTCTTAAAACAGTCAACGTATAATGTAGTACGATGGCTGCACTTGGCGTTCGGTCCTCGACACTATTAAAAATAAACCTTAATGCTGGTGGAAAAAGTAAATATCTAATAATAACCAGAAAAAAAAAAAAATTTGTTTTTTCGACGACTGTTAATCGCGCCCTATCGACGATCGGGCGACGTTTTCGACGCAACAGCGATCGACGGCCGGACAGCGCGGGTGCTCGTCACGTGTAAACGCAGTTGCAATCCGTGTGCACACGACGCGACCGTAGGAAACCCAGGGATCCGGAAACGGGAACCGGTCGAGGTACGGCGGCGGGCAGGGATTGATCGGAACGCGACCGGGTGTCAGTGCGCGTGCGTAACCCGTGCACGCGGTCCGCGCCACGTTCCGGGCGCGTGGACCGAACAAAAAAACGGCCGTGTTAAACGGTCGGCGAAAACGCGTACCGGCGCGCGCGCGTTTTGTAACCCGACCGTTATCGGGGCCGATAACACGTCGTGGCCGCGCCGCAACGTCGACCGCGCTCCCGGACAACGGCGGCAGTTGCGCCGCGACCGTTCGCGACGACGATGACGACGCGTTGCTGCCGCCGCGCCGCCGCCGCCGCGCACGAGGTCAGCCGGCCGTACGTCGGATGACGACGACCACGACGACCTGCTCGAACGCCGTTTGCCAGTACCGTCGGACAACCGTGCTGATAAGCACCGGAAGCGCGCCGCCGAGTCCGCGAACAGCCCAGTCTGACGCCCCGAACCGGTTAACCCGCGAGCAGAGCCCGCCCGTTCTTCGCCACCAACGTCGGACGTCAACCATGGTCTTGTGTTTCGGTTTTTGTTC